AATGCAGGTAGAGCTGTTATAAGCAGTATTAATGATGACCACTGAAGGTCCTCTGTGTTGACACTCTCCCAAATGAAGACAAAGGAACCAAACACTATTACATCACCATAAGAGCACCACAATGTACACTAGAACAGTGTGTTGATGTTCTGATCGCTGTTTTTTGCCTCAGCAGCCTGTTTTGGCACATCACTGCTGTATTCTCTGGTCTTTCGTAGTGATGGGATGACTGAGCGAAATCAGACTGTTTGTCACCTCATATTTAATCTTCACTAAAACAGGAAGTCACGACTGACCGCTTAAGTGTTCCTAATCGCGCAAGTGGACTGTAGAACATAAAGTATTATGAAATATAGCATGACTACCTCAGTTAGGCCGAAACCGATCTTTTTCCTCATATGTGACACAGATGTGTGTCTGTGTGTCAGTGAGAACAGATAAACACACTGAAACTGACATTTTCAGTTCTGATTTGAGACGCTTTTATATGTGGTGCTAAAATCTGATACACATCCGATCTGCGGCAATGCGACTCAGTCTGAACAGCCAGATGCGAATTCATATTTTAACGTCAATCCAACTTGGCATTCGTCATAATTTTGCGCTGCTGAGACTCAAAAACATTTAGGCTGATGTTTCTGTACAAAAATGAGAAGAGACTCATCAAAACCCGTCTGTGTTCAGAGAGATTTCTAAATGAAATGTCCGAACGCGGCCGCAGGAGAACGAGGCTGCGGCGTCAAAGAACGATTAAAAGTCTGAAAGCAAAGTTTAAAGAATCCGAGGACGCGAACCAAAAAAGTGACCGCGCCCTTTTTACGGCTCGGACACATTCTGGGTGATGAGCCCAGCTGTCAGTCAGTGAAGCTTCATGATGGCTCCTGTGATGCTGGTGAAGATGAAGCTGAACCTCCGGGAGCGACTGGCGTTCGTTGGTGGTCGTGACTGTTTACCTCTGGATGAGCCGTGAAGCAGCGTGACGCTCTGTTCTTTAGTGGGTCAGTTTAGGAGCTGATCTGTTCAGACTGATGTCGCATACAGATCACATTTAAAAGATAATCTGAACAGACAAACAAAAAATCTGATCTGGTGAGAAAATCAGATTTGGGCCACTTTTACCTGCTGTGGGATCACAGCCTCTGATTTCACTTGGAAGATTTTCAAGGGTTGTCAAGAATTGTGGCACACAGATTTGAGAAAAATATTTATTTCATGATAAGATTTAATTTTTTGTTTGTATTTCAAATAAAGGTTAGAGTTTTGTTAATATTTTGAACAAAAGATAAAGGAGCAGGACTAAAAAATGTTCTTAAAGCCCCTTTTGCTCCTCATGTTTATCCTGTGTATTAACAGGTGTTTTGTGTCTGGATTGCAACCGGATAAACTTTCTATTTACACTTTTACTGAAATGCGTCCCCAGTTTCACCAGATGAGATTTTACTTTTCCCGCATAAAACGCGCATCAACACATGCGTCGTTCTTGTCTCAGTTTTGTTTACTCTTACAAACGAGTGAACAACCTCGGCTTGGACGCTTCCGTTGGCTTGGAGTGCCAAAATTATTGGTTTGGGATAAGTTCAGTCTCGCGTATCCTCAATCTTTTATTTATTTTTTAGTTTTTTATCCCCTCACTGGCTGGTCAACGCCCAGCATTTCTGCTCACATAATTACAGATAACAAAAATGCATTGTTTACACTTGTTTTAAATGCATTCAGGATCCGTCTCGGACCCTCCAACTGTGGTTTGAGTGATCCAATCCTAATGTAATCAGTGTAAATTGGCCCTCAAAACTGCAGACGGTGCATTTTCTGATGTGTGAGTTGTCCGGCTTGATAGCCAGTGATTCCCAATTCTGTCATCAGTCAGCTAAAGCCTGTGACTGTCCTCACTTTGGGCAGCCCTGAACTAAACAAACAACTCAGCAAACAAGATGCTTTACAGACTGACTGGAACAAAACCTCTTTCAGCTTCATCTGGAAAACACTGAAAAAGATGATCTCTCAGTTTTATGGCTCTACAGGGACTTTTTGTGGTGTAAGAAATCACCAACGTTAAAGCACATTTGATAAAATGTTCAGAGCTTCTTTGCTTCCCTTCTTAATTTTGCAGAAATGCTGTATAAGCAGTAGAACACTGGAGAACAGCTGAGATGATCCACTGCAGGGTTTTCCAACCTTCTTCAGCTCGCGGCCCAACAGATCGAACCGATCAGATCATGTTTTTCTGGCTCGCCCAGTGGGCGCTGATCTTGCTTGGCAGCTACTGAGCGCTGGATGTCAGGCTGAAGAGAGGAAAGTTCAGCTCAAATCGACAGCTTTAGATTCACTGTGTTGAGTCTCAGAGTGACGGTGTAAACTGTTGGCTTTCAAAGCTTCATTTAAAAGGGTCTCTGAGCAGACAGCCCAGCCCAGCGCTGCTCCTCACTGCTGCATTTTCTTCCTTTCGGTTACGATTGGTTTTCTCAGCTTCTTCAGTCTGAGCTACTTGGCTGCTTCATCTGCAGATGGTCCAGCCTCAGCAGCTTTCCTTCTCAAAGACCCCTTTAATCATGTAGCCATGATGGACGAGTTCCATACGATTCAATGTGAAACATTGGTGTTTGATCTTTGGTGATGCTACAAGTCCAAGAGGGCACAGTTATCCTCGCTCTCTCTGGGTGGGTAGGTTGGCCCCCGTCTCCCCCCATCACTCAGTACAATGCTGGTCAGCACAGGCGTCTGTTAGCTGACAGAACTGGCGGTTAGTGTTCTCCTCCAAGCGTGTTCAGCTGTCCAGTGACGTTGTGTTAGCAGCAGTTTGAAAAGATGTGGTGGAGCTTCACGGAACTCGGAGCAAGACTGTGCTGGCCTTCGCCCTCCTAGCGCTGGTGGAACTGGGGGGAGAACCAACTAGTGGATATGACTAAACTGGGGAGAAATGGGGGGGGGAACATTTTGCATTGGTTTGCACTAAAAATATAGACATAACTAACTAGCATGTTACCAGAACAATGACCTTGATATAAATATTGAGTTGATTTTTGCAAATATTCGACAATATTTATCATATTTAAAATAACGTGTGGTTAAATGTCTGTATTGTAAGAGTTTTGCAGGTAGCTCGTACCTGCGACCCAATCACGGCCCTGATGTTATTTGTGATAATGCATGACCTCCAGTGTTCTGTTGCTTTAGTATATTAAAAAAAAATAATAATAAATAAAGTTTGGGGACACCTCACTTCATTAATTTGTTGCGTTGTCTGATTTTAACTGTTACTTTTCAGTGATCCGGTTCATGTCTAACAGCTAAATTTAGTATAATGAGGAAAACAAATCTCACAGAACTCGCTCTGATTGGGCCAAAGAGATTACAATTATTAAAGATGTTAGTGTGTGTTGTGCTGGTGCGAGTGGATCAGACACAGCAGTGCTGCTGGAGTTTTCAAACACTGTGTCCACTCACTGTCCACTCTATTAGACACTCGTCAGTCCATCTTGTAGATGTAAAGTCAGAGATGATAGCTCATCTGCTGCTGCACAGTTTGTGTTGGTCATCCTCTAGTCCTTCATCAGTGGTCACAGGACGCTGCCCACAGGACGCTGTTGTCTGGATATTTTTGGTTGGTGGACGATTCTCAGTCCAGCAGTGACACTGAGGTGTTTAAAAACTCCAGCAGCACTGCTGTGTCTGATCCACTCAGACCAGTGCAACACACACTAACACACCACCACCACGTCAGTGTTACTGCAATGCTGAGAATGATCCACCACCCAAACAGTACCTGCTCTGTGAGGGTCCATGGGGGTCCTGACCACTGAAGAACAGGGTAAAAGGGGGCTAACAAAGTATCAGAGAAACAGATGGACTACAGTCTGTAACTGTAGAACTACAAAGTGCACCTATATAGTAAGTGGAGCTGATAAAATCGTAGAAACAAGGAGGTGGTCAGAATGTTATGCCTGACCGGTGTGTATATATGTGTGATATTGTTTTCCTCTGAATAAGTCTGATTAGGCTTTAATGGTCAGATACTGAACAGCCAACAAAGAAAATATGATCATTTGCATAATAAAGTGTTTGAGGTGTCCCCGAAGTTTTGTGTGTTTGTGTTTGGGTGAAGTGTAGAACGAGTTTGTTTCCTCCTGTTGGATTATTAATCGTGTGACTTCCACATGAGAGAGATGAGTCTGTATGTTTCTGTGCCTCTTAAATCGTGGTCTGATGATTTTCTGTCACTGTTTCTGAATGCTGGCCAGATGTGGGCTGAGGAGGTCCACCAGGTAAGAGTCCTTTACAGGTGCTTGGAAATGTGGAAGATGTGTTTAAGAGCCCATATTCTACATTTGTCTTCTATTATAGCATGTTTTCCAAGCTGGCTTTATACCTAACAAATAAACAGGTTGTTATAACTGTGCCCTTAAGACTGATATATGCAAATGACCTCTGTTCTGATTGGCTGTGCTTCGTTGAGTCAGTAATCCATGAAACGGACTTTTGGGAGATGGGACTGAAATCCTCAGGACTGTATTGGAAAAATAACCTTTAGCCGCTCCTTTCAGATCTCTGGATCTTTCGGAAGCTGCAGTGATCCATTTGCTTCCCGACAGCCAGGAACAGCACAACGTTTAATCATTTTCCACTCTAATAACTATATATATGAGTTAGATACAGACCGTCTACACATCACTTCAGAGGGAATGGGTGGGGCTAAACTGCTGTAGGCTGAATGGGTGGGGCTAAACTACTGTAGGCTGAATGGGTGGGGCTAAACTACTGTAGGCTGAATGGGTGGGGCTAAACTGCTGTAGCTGAATGGGTGGGGCTAAACTGCTGTAGCTGAATGGGTGGGGCTAAACTGCTGTAGGCTGAATGGGAGATCATATATAAATGTTTTCACTGATTTTGATAAACACGTCCTGTGTTGTTTCCATATACGAGCTGCAGTGAACAGTTTGTTCTCACAGTGTTTAAATGCGTCAGGCGCTCTGGTTCAAAGCTGTGTCTGTGTGTTTCCTCAGGCAGAGACGGAACTCAGGATAACCCAGAGTGAGTTTGACCGTCAGGCTGAGATCACCAGGCTGCTGCTGGAGGGCGTGAGCAGCACTCACGTACGTAAAGCCTCCCTCACTGTTATCATTTCTGCTTCTCTCTGTGAGCTTCTGCTGAACCTTCGTCTGTCCCTGTTCAGGCGCATCACCTGCGCTGTCTGAACGACTTCGTGGACGCTCAGGCTTCGTACTACGCTCAGTGTTACCAGTACATGGTCAATCTGCAGAAACAGCTCGGAAGGTGAGTCTCAGTGTGTCCGGCTTTCCAACAAGATTTAATACAAACTAGAAGAGGAAAGTTTCTGAATGAACTTTAATTTGATTTGACAAACTTAACATAGCTGGGAAAGCTGTGACGTACAAGATGGTGGCTAAGGTGCTTTGCGATGGTTATCCAGGTGGTTGCTGAGGTGTTGCTAGGCCATATGGTATTCCAGGTAGTTTCTAAGGTGTTGCTAGGGCTTTGCGATGGTTATCCAGGTGGTTGCTAAGGTGCTGCTAGGCCATATGGTATTCCAGGTAGTTGCTAGGGCTTTGCGGTGGTTATCTAGGTGGTTGCTAAGGTGTTGCTAGGCCATATGGTATTCCAGGTAGTTTCTAAGGTGTTGCTAAGCCATATGGTATTCCAGGTAGTTGCTAGGGCTTTGCGGTGGTTATCTAGGTGGTTGCTAAGGTGTTGCTAGGCCATATGGTATTCCAGGTAGTTTCTAAGGTGTTGCTAGGCCATATGGTATTCCAGGTAGATGCTAAGGTGTTGCTAGGCCATATTGTATTCCAGGTAGTTGCTAGGGCTTTGCAGTGGTTATCTAGGTGGTTGCTAAGGTGTTGCTAGGCCATATGGTATTCCAGATAGGTGCTAAGGTGTTGCTAAGCCGTATGGTATTCCAGGTAGTTTCTAAGGTGTTGCTAGGGCTTTGCGATGGTTATCCAGGTGGTTGCTAAGGTGCTGCTAGGCCATATGGTATTCCAGGTAGTTGCTAGGGCTTTGCAGTGGTTATCTAGGTGGTTGCTAAGGTGTTGCTAGGCCATATGGTATTCCAGGTAGTTTCTAATGTGTTGCTAAGCCATATGGTATTCCAGGTAGTTGCTAGGGCTTTGCGGTGGTTATCTAGGTGGTTGCTAAGGTGTTGCTAGGCCATATGGTATTCCAGGTAGTTTCTAAGGTGTTGCTAGGCCATATGGTATTCCAGGTAGATGCTAAGGTGTTGCTAGGCCATATTGTATTCCAGGTAGATGCTAAGGTGTTGCTAGTGCTTTGCAATGGTTATCCAGGTGGTTGCTAAGGTGCTGCTAGGCCATATGGTATTCCAGGTAGTTGCTAGGGCTTTGCGATGGTTATCTAGGTGGTTGCTAAGGTGTTGCTAGGCCATATGGTATTCCAGATAGGTGCTAAGATGTTGCTAAGCCATATGGTATTACAGGTGGTTGCTAAGATGTTGCTGGGGCTTTGCGATGGTTATCCAGGTGGCTTCTAAGGTGTTGCTAGGCCATATGGTATTCCAGGTAGTTGCTAAGGTGTTTCTAGGGCTTTGCGAAGGTTATCCAGGTGGTTGCTAAGGTGTTGCTGGGCAGTGTTTTCCTATAGTGGGTGGGTGTGTGTGTGTATGTGTATATATATGGGAGAAAAAAGTCATTACTTGACATTAACGTTCCCTAATTAAGCTGAGTTTAGATTAACATGAATTATCAGTGATAACTTCTGCATTAACGTTCTCTGTTTGATAAGATCATGTTTGGACTAGTAAAGATTGATAACTGTTTGATCTTCTAGCTTCCCGACTACATTCTGCTCCAATAACAACGCACCTTCAGCGAGTTCCTCTGCCAGCATCTCAGTGGCCCCTCCCACTCTGACCCCAACGCTGACCCCGGGTCAGGCCTCCCCGTCCCTGAGCGAACTCCGCAGCTCCTCCGGGCCGCGCAGAGCTCGCGTGCTGTACGACTACGATGCGGCCAGCAGCAGTGAACTCTCCCTCCTGGCTGACGAGGTGATCAGCTGATAACACTCATTCTGCTCGATGCATTAAAGCGATAGTTCAGCTACAAATCATCTTCCCCTCTTATTACCCCAAATGTAGACCAGACATGCCGGTTTGTGCAGTTTGCTTCTCTAGTTTTAGCACTGAAGCTACAAGGCTAATGCAGCTAACAAGTAAGGAAAGCTTATAACCCACCAATTAGCATCATGCTAACTCTATGGATAAGGCTCAGACACACCAAGCTGATGAGGAAGCACTGGCGCCATCTAAGGCCGAAAGAGTGCAGGAGCTAATATTTATTGTAGCATTATCAACACTGTAGTTCGGGGTGGGCGATATGAAAAAGAAAATCACAATACTTCAGAACATTTTCAGGATGTGCAACATGATTTTTAATTTTGTTAAGGTTTAGTAAGTTGGAACTGCCAAAATAGAGCCTGTGGTGCCACATATAAAAAGCACTGTTAGAATAGTAGTAGTAGTAATAATAATAATAATAATAATAATAATAATAATAATTATTATTATAATATTAAACCTTAAACTACAATGATTTTTATTCAGTGTTTTATAAACTACACCACACCAAATCCAATTAAACAGGCCTAATTATTCTGAGTTTATAATGAAATTTAGGCCCAGTCCCATTTCACCCCTCGCCCCTACCATTTAGTCCTTAGCCCTCCGTTTTCCGTGTTCTCGTCTAGGGGTAGGGTGTCCCGATTCTTGTTGAGATAGAGGGGGAGGGTGAATTGTTGGGGCTACATGACCCTCCAAACGGAGGTTTTTCAGAGACTCCAAACAGAGACTTATGAGAAAAAAGAAAAACTGGCGAGATGGAGAACAAGAGACCAAAGAAACACACAAATGTGAGAATTTTCTCTGTTAAAAATTACGATAACCACTGTTTTATCTTAGTTTGGTGTTGTTTCAGTGTATTATGGTTGTTTTCTTCATAACAAGCATGAAAAAAAAGGAAATCATAACAATAGTATGCTAATGTCTCTGTAGCCAGCTAGCTAACTTTCCCGTTCCACCTTAAAAAGCCCAGCAGTTCTGACGCCTGAAGAGCCAGAATGTAACTGCTGCACCATTTAAGGTGGAACGGGAAAATTCGAACAAGAAGCTGGAGAATATCTGACTTCAGCTTCATATCACTGAAGAATTAAGGGGTGGGTGATAATAAATAATCGCCCCCCTCTTTGAAGATCATATGATGCCCTAAATGTAACTAAAGCCCAGCAGTGAGGAGCTGAACTTTACCCTCCTCTGCTGTCACTGCAGACTGGCAGGGTCGCCTACAGAGCAGCACTGGTAGCTGTTAATGAAGTGATGCTCTTTATTTGAGGGTCCCATTTCAGAGGGAAGATTTCAACCACTACCCTGTAACTCAGTTCAAGGGGTTAGGGTGACACTCGAAAACAAGGGGTAGGGGTAAAAAGAAGAAATGGGACTGGGCCTTAGTGTTCCCTAAAGCAACACTATGTAGGATTTGGAGACCTCTCTGGTGGAAATATGGAATTGCACGCAGTGTGCGTAAGAACATGTTGTAACGTGGGCTGAGCTTCAGACCATCACGAGTGGATGAATGTGACTTTTGCAAATACGTTGAGATGGAATTCAAAGAGAACTATTCCAGCTTTTACCATCTTTCTACCAAAAATACTCATTATAATAAAACGTTCTGTTACTCTGGGAGTCCAGCACTGACCGTCCTCTCCTCTGTTCTCAGGTGATCACTGTGAGCAGCGTCCCAGGCATGGACTCTGATTGGCTGATGGGGGAGAGGGGCCATCAGAAAGGAAAAGTGCCCATCACCTACCTGGAGCTGCTGAACTGAGCAAAGGAGCACTTCACACTCCAGGTGTCGTTCTAACGAGAGCACAGCTCCTGCAGGGCGTTTCAGAAACCAGGACCTCTCAGTGACCTCAGAGTGAGGACTGTTCAACGGGAGAACCCAGACGTTCCCACCGGACAGTCCTCACTTAGAGGAGTTCATTAAAGAGATTTTAACAAGGCCTCAGTCTGCTGTGTCTGCAGCGTTCGGCTGATCACCACAGACGAGAACTTTAATATACTTCTCTGAACTTAGAAAACAGCAGAAAACTCCAGAGTCACTTATGCTACGTTTACACAGCAGGTAAAAGTGGCCCAAATCTGATTTTCTCACCAAATCTGATTTTTTTTGTTTGGCTGTTCACAATATCTTTTAAATGTGATCTGTATGCGACATCAGTCTGAACAGATCAGCTCCTAAGCTGACCCACATGCGCAAGAAGAACAGTGCTTCACATGGTTTGTCCAGATGTAAACAGTCATGACGGCCAGCGAATGCCCGTCGCTCCCGGAGCTTTCAGTTTCGTCTTCGCCAGCATCACAGGAGCGATTATGAAGTTCCTGTAGTTGACAGCTGGACTCATCACCCACACTGTGTTCGAGTTTGGCGTAAAAGGGCGCGTTATTCGGCCACTTCTTTGGTTCGTGTCCTCGGATTCTTTAAACTTTTTTTGACGCTGCAGCCTCGGGCTCCTCCGTCCGTGTTCGGTCGTTTCGCTCGAAATTTCTTCAGACACGGAGGGTTTTGGATGAGTCTCTTCTAATTTTTGGCACAAAAACATCAGCCTAAATATTTATGAGTCTCAGCAGTGCGAAATTATGACGAATGTGGAGTTGGATTGACGTAAAAGTTGCATGAATTCTGATCTGGCTGTTGAGACTGAGTTGCATAGCTGCAGATCGGATACGTATCGGATTTCAGTACCACATATGAAAGTGTCCCAAATCTGAATTGAAAATGTCAGATTCAGTGTGTTTATCTGTTCACACTGACACACAGACACACATCTGTGTCACATATGAAGAAACAGATCAGATTTGGGCCACTTTAACCTGCTGTGTGAACAAAGCCTTAGATACCCAGCGGAGTCCAAACGTCTGAGAGCACTTTGAAAATCTGAGATTTTTCCTTTAAACCTGGAAATAAACAGCAAAGTTTAAGAATCTTGAAAAATCTTAAAGCAGAAGTTACGACAATCAAAGTGAAGAAGAAATGTTCAATATTCTGCACTGTTACTATGTTCTTAAAATGATGGTTCTTCAAGGGTTCTTTAGTAAAGAAAACAGTTCTATATAGAACCATGAACACTTAAAGAACCATGCATGGTGAAATGGTTCTTTAGAATGGATAAAGTCGCGTATGGTTCTATGTAGAACCATTTTGAAAAGGGTTCTGCTATTGTTACATTGCCAAGCTTGTAACAATAGAAGAACCCTTTTGTGTGCTGTATAGAGCCCTTTTTAAAAAAGGTTCTGTATAGAACCATACACAAGACATTATCCATCAGTCTAAAGAACCATTTCACCATGCAGCGTTCTTTGACTGAGGCGGGTGTGTGGAGTGGTTTTAGTCTGACCTCTTCCAGTGAAGCTCGTGTTCAGACTGTCATAAAAGCAGGAGAGGGACACACCACCAAATTCTGAAATTTATGTTAAAATTCTGCTTTTCAGATTGTTGTGCTGGTAATATTGTTTGTAAAGATAAATAATAACTTTGTGTTAAGTTAAAAAGGAATGCAAAGTAGAAGCATTTTCACCAGCGCTCTCAGACTTTTATACCCCACTGTGTGTGTTTATGTATACATAAATCATCACTGTCCAAAGAAAAACATCTGAACTTTCAATGTTAGTTAATGTAAAGAGATTTTATGGCATGCAGTTTTGGAGCTTTTCTCTTGGTCGTCATGAAATTTTCACACAATGTAAAGGGCAGATGCTGAGTGTATGAGTATATAAATATATATATATATATATATAAAATCACTGCCGTTGGAACAAAACCTCCATTTTTGTCTTTTTCCAGTTTTTGACATTTGAAAGTACTCATCCTTTACATTGTGTGTAAATTTCACGATGAATGGACCAAAACAAACGGCCCAAAAGGACTTGGTAAAAATTCTGATTCCATTGACTTTAAAAGTAAAGTATGATTTTTCCTTTTCCTGTAAAGTTACCATTTTGGAGATAGAAGGTTTTGTTCCAACAGCAGCGAAATATAGAAGGAAAAAACAGGCTTTATTTTTAATGTAAGTATATAATAAGTAAGTAAATATATTTTATTCCATGCAGTTTTGGAGCATTTCTATTGGTTTGTTCATCATAATATTTTCAGACAGTGTAAAAGGGCAGCTGCTGAGCCTAAATGATGCAGAAAAGTAAGAATTGGACAAAAACGGAGGTTCGTTTTTCTTTGGACAGTGACGATGTATACAGGCAGATGCATAAACATTTGAAATGCATGACTGTTTTACCTACAGTTCAGTGTTAGAATGAGATGGACTCAGAATTTCTTATTAAAACTGTTCCTGTGAAGTTTTTCCAACTTTACAGCTCTGGAGCACAGTAAACAAGTAGTTCCGGTTACTTTCTCTTTCCCTTTGGTTTACATGGTTAAAACTCCGCCCCCGTCACCAGGCTGGTAACGGATTAGTGCGAATCCTTCAGTCTGAGAACTCGTCACACCTCTGAAAGACAGTTACAAAGGTTTACAGACAGTTTCTGACTGAAGAATCTTGACAGTGTTTAAAAACGTGTTTTGCCTAAACAGTTATTCACCGACTCCAGCAGCTCAGTGAGCTCAGAGTCAGAGTTTTCTGCTCCTCAGTTCAGGGAAGCGGCGTGACGATCGTTCGGACACAGAGAGACGAGTGTTCCTTCATCTGCTCCACTGATTAACCCTGCTTTTCTGAAACGTCCCTCAGGTCGTGCGTCTCTGTGTGTTTCATGTAGTGCAGAGCAAAACCAAATACACTCCCCTCTTACAGTCTATGTGCCTCCATTACGTTATCAGTGGAAACTGTAAGCCGCCTTACAGTCAGATGCAATTTTTTTTCTAATTCATGTGCCAACTAGATTTTTTTAAAAATGCTAAATACTATTAGACTAACTCTGCCACGATGTGTTATAATGCTTTAATAAATATTATATCGTGTGATTTTGCTGCTCTGGGTCTTTTTTTGTCTGTTTATTTTTCATTTTGTTGACAGTAACAGTGGATATGAGAAATACCATTAGAAAGATTCCGTAAGGGAAACCGTTTTAATGCAGATTAGGGACAGTAAGCTTTCTGATTGGGTGACTTTACAGGGGCTGCTGTTCATTAAATCAGGACTGTTTTGAAATGGAATAGATCACTCACATCAAATAGTGGCTTGACTTTCAAAGAATTCTTACTAAGTCTGGGTTATTATTCTTCAGTTATGTTATCAAAACTTGTTATGCAGATTTTATGCATGATATGACAAAATAGATGCTCATCGGAGGTTATGAGGGCGACTAGCTGTGATCTCATAGTCCATAACATTCTGACCACCTCCTTGTTTCTACGCTCATTGTCCATTTTATCAGCTCCACTTACTATATAGGTGCACTTTGTAGTTCTACAGTTACAGACTGTAGTCCATCTGTTTCTCTGATACTTTGTTAGCCCCCTTTTACCCTGTTCTTCAGTGGTCAGGACCCCCATGGACCCTCACAGAGCAGGTACTATTTGGGTGGTGGATCATTCTCAGCAACACTGACGTGGTGGAGGTGTGTTAGTGTGTGTTGTGCTTGTCTGAGTGGATCAGACACAGCAGTGCTGCTGGAGTTTTTAAACACCTCAGTGTCACTGCTGGACTGAGAATGGTCCACCAACCAAAAACATCCAGCCGGCAGCGTCCTGTGACCACTGATGAAGGACTAGAGGAGCTATCGTCTCTGACTTTACATCTACAAGGTTGACCGACAAGGTAGGAGTGTCTAATAGAGTGGACAGTGAGTGGACGCAGTGATCAGGTACTGATCGGTGTATTTAAATGGTTGAGATGTAAACAGAGTCGTTCAGAGTGGTTTGGTGTGAGATAAACTTGCCGAGTCAGAGCTGTTCACAGTGGTGGTGATAGGAACCAGACGTCCACCTCTAAAAGCTCCCTCACAGAAAGTTCCTACATGAAATGGTTATGAATTCACTGCCTGATGACTGAGACACTGTTTTATGATAGTTTTGAGAACTTAAACTCCATTCATGGTGGAGGGATACATGCAGGGCGCTGTGAGGCAAAATAGTCCCCAAAGAAAACTTATTATTTCAGATTTTCCACTATTTTCCATCATCAACATTCCATATAGACTCAGAAGACTCGTGTAGGTTCACTGGTGGTTCTGGATAGTAAATAAAATGTCTATATTTCTGCTGCTGCATAAACTCAAAACTATCTAATTAACCATTGCTCCATCTGTTTTGTATTATAATATTTTATACTAACACTATTTGCTATCCGAGTCGACCAGAGGAGGATGGGTTCCCCTTTGAGTCTTGGTTCCTCTCAAGGTTTCTTCCTCTTGTTCTTAGGGAGTTTTTCCTTGCCACTGTCTCCACTGGTGACATTCATGGGGGCTCAGACCTGGACTTGACTTTGACTTGTAGTCATGGCGACCCCTGGTTCCTATCAGCACCACTGTAAAGACATCGGAACCATTTCACACCAAACCACTCTGAATCTCTATATTTACATCTCACTCACAGAATTATACAGAATTTTTGAAAAACTTTTATGTATCTGATTATATCCAATTTCTGGCCATGTGGCCATCATTCATCATCAGGGTGTCAGCAGCGCCCTGAGAGCTGTGGCCTCTTCATGGTCCATTGAGGTGATGCTACTGATTAATGGATTAGAATGTGCTGGGCAGGTTGTTTTCGGGCTGCAGACAGATGAGGATCACTTACACATACGAACATGAACCATCAAGTTAGAAAGATCAGAATTGAGCAAAATCTTAGAAATCTTGAGCTGAGAAACATGGCGAAACGCAGCTTCTTGTTTGAATGTTCCCGTTCCACCTTAAATGGTGCAGCAGCTGTGACTATACAAACATTAACAAGACAAAACACTGACCTGTCGTTTCTGTGAAACAGCAGAAATAAGTTAATGTTACTCAGCTATTAAGTGGAAACAGAAAAACCACCTCATATCAGGCCTTTCAACCCTCCATGAAGCTGAAGCGGAGTTTCCCCTTTCCACCTTAAATGGCGCAGCACTGCTGCACCGTTTAAGGTGGAACGGGAAAGTCGAACAAAAAGCTGGCGAATGTCCTGAGAAAATGTCCTGAGAAAAATGTTCCCAGCATTAAAATAACAATGAGGACATTCTGAGAGCCTAAATCAGTTTATCAGGGTGAGCAGTGATCATTAAGCCGAGTCGGTACCGGAGCAGCCTGAGTTCAGGTTCGTTTGTAGACCTTTTCAAATCCAGCTAAAAGGAGAGATCTATCGGGTTTCACTGAGCATCAGGTGAAGAACAGAGAGCTGCAGGGAAACCTGCTGATTCTGTTCGGACTCCTTTTCATTTCCCCTCAGGCTGAACATGGAAATGTACGCTGCCTAAACCCGCTTAAGGAGGCCGCCAGTCTAATGACGGGAATTCAGAGCGCAGTAGCTTCAGCTCACATGGAGCAATATTCATACTTCAGCTCTTTAACGACCTCGTAACTCAGAGGATCCAGTGGTGTTCAGGAGAAGGATGTTCTCAGGACAGAACGTATCGGGTTCTGAACATTTGTATTTAACACAGGGGGCGCTAGAGGCTATTTTTCAAAAACCCTATTCATTCTGGCCATAGAGAAACGGAGCACAGACCCGGAGTTCCTAATATGGGCATAACAAGGACTACAGAATGACCACAACTACTGTGGTCTTTTAGCCTGTAGCTACAGCCATGGATACACATTCCTAGATGCCGCGTTGTCTGTTGTTCTCTATCTGAGGCGATGCGTCTGCATGTCCGCCATTTTGGAGAGGTCAAGATCTGTTTGTGAACAAATTCCTTTGTATTGAGAGACGAAGAGTCTCAGGATTAAATCAGCCACAACTTCATTATTACTCAACTGATTTTCACCACATTAGTTTTGTTATAATCCTCAAACACAGATTAATCCAGGCTGCTCGGATCTGCTCTCGGTAGCTTTTACTACTTTAATAACTGATCGTGATAATTAGCCGTCCAGACCAGCAGGACAGTGTTCAGTCTGTGTCTGACGAGTTTAGTACTCCACTAAAAACATGATCTCACACACATCAGCAAATAAATCAATGTGTGAATCACTTCTAATCTTAATACACATAAAAATAAAATAAACCCCCCCAGAACACAGTAAGAAGGACAGAGTAGAAGTCGGCTTCCCTATTTGCCAGCTTCTTGTTCGAGTTTTCCCGTTCCACCTTAAATGGTGCAGCTTCAGGCACCAGAAAGTAACTGCTGCACCATTTAAGGTGGAACGGGAAAACTCGAACAGAAAAAAACTCGAACGGAAAAAAAATAAATACTACATAGAGTTAAGATCCTGAATAGACTGTTAAATGAAATAAGCTTAATATAAAACCAGAGGAAAAACAATCACATCAACAGGTTCTCTGAGCCTCATTAATCACACGGCCATATCTACACAAACATCACACAGACAATACGCGTCACACAGACACGAGTGTGGATCACTGCGTTCCCTCCGTTATACAATCCTGTCCCACTCTTCTGAGTGTGATATTCCTGAAATAGTGTAATTTTGGACAGTATCTTTCTTAAACTGCCGCTCTGTAATGGTACTGAATGCAGTCCAGCAGCGATGCTGACCGCCCCAAAATGGCGGCGCCGTTGACGTGCCTGTCTGGACCCAACGTGGCATCTAGGTATGTATATCTGTGAGTCAGATTCTTCTCCAAAACGTGTGCAAAGCGGAGAGGTACATGCAGGCGTTGTAAGGAAAAAATAGTACCCAAAGAAAACGTATTTTTCCAATTTCGCAGTATTTTACGATCATCAGTGTGACATATAAAACCTTGTAAGACAAACGTAAGATCACTGATCATTTTGATAGCAGATAAAATGGTGATATTTGTAATATAGACATACGGACGTCTGGTTCCTAGTACTACAATGGTGAACAATTCTGACTACATTTCTCTAGAAAAGCGCATTTCACACCAAACCACTCTGAATGATTCTGTTTACATCTAAACCATTAAATGATTCATTTTTGAATGTTTAATTAATTAATGTTTACTTTAAGAACACACTTAGGAAGATATTGGAGAACGAGGCCCAATGACTGATGAAACGGTTATCGTGCTGCATTCCTTTTCACAACGATGCTCTTGTTTTGTCCTGTTGCAAATCCAGCGCCCCCTTTATTTTATATATTTTTTTTCAGTTGAATTATATTTAAAGCTCAAGGAAATCCACTGATAAAAAAAGACTCTTTTCAAGTTTAATAAACACATAATGTTACCAGTCAGTGAGTAATCGTGATAAATAATCATGATAAATAATCATGATCTCAACGTGATTATGATTTTTGCCATAATCAAGCAGCCCTAATCTTAAAATCTTTTGGTAAGACAGCTATAAACAAACCTCTACACTCTGATTGGTCTGAGCCCATATTATTATTATTATTATTATTATTATTATTACATGCCATCAAGTCATTTCCACTGCTGGTGACCGTATGGACAGTGTTCTCCAGAACGTCTTCTGTTTGGGCTTCTGAATGGCTGGTTCATGATTCCTCTGATTGCATCCATCCATCTTGTTACCTCAAGGCATTTCGGATGCTGTGGAGTCCACACTGACGTGGACTTAGAACACACAGGAACCCCAAATGGGACAGAACTTAAGAAGGACCATGTTCATATTATTAAAACCTCTTGTGTGTCTCATTTTCTCAAAGCTGCTGAGAGAGAGAAACGTGTCTGACGCGACTGTCAAACATACTTTTATTCATTTTTACAATTAGCTATCAGAACGACTGAGTGTTCGGACGTCTGGTTTGGGTTGACAATGTCCAGTAATGTCAAGTTTCACAGCAATTCATGCGACCCCATCACAACGTCTGGGTTACGTACTGAGTGGCACTTCAGAAGAGAAGTTCGTTACGGAGGAGGTTCGTAGGCAGGAAGGCCAGATGAGTAGAAATGCGGGAAACGCTGATTTGAAACCACAAAGACTGAAGAGAGTGTCGCTAAATGTGACTTGGAGCCTTTACAAGGAGTATTTGTGATATTCTGAATAAATGCATACACAAACAAAATCAGCAGATTCACCTGAAAAAAAAGGAAAATATTACAGTAATAAATCAAACCTGGTCAAGACAGTCTGCTTTGTCCAGGAGAACGTTGTGCAGAACCCTTTTGGAAAACTTTAAAACATCGTTACAGATCACACGAAGTATTAAATTACATATAAAAATGCTAGTTTGTCGGGCACTGTGGAGCTGGCATACATTGGAGAGTTGAAAATAAATAATAAAACAATGTTTTTGGAGAACAGAAATCCTTTTTTTTTTTTCAGAAGAGAATCTGGACCGAAAGCGCGATGACCTGCAGCAGTAGTCGCATTAGTGCCATTCGAGTGCAGTTTTAGCAGTTCTAGCAGGTTTAGCTGTAGCGGTCAAGCAGAAGTAGCCACTGTCCGAGTGCTGCTGCCCAAAAAGAAGCGTGGATGCGGCTCCCTGATCGTCAGTCCGGGAGCCGTGGTGTGATTGTATCGTAATCAACCCATAAAGTGCTTTTCGATTGAAAAACAAAGAAAAACATGTTATATTTAACAAAAGAGGATAAAAACACAAATTTAGGCACAAGCTCGAGTCTCTGGTGGGGGTCCCTCATTTTTTGAACGGCGTCAAGCGTCCGATGTTGTGCCAGAAGTTGGAGGTTTTGCGTTTGGGTTCGGCCAGCATGATGACCTGCTGCTGGGGCAGTGAGGCGGGCAGCGCCGGGTGTTTCTGACGCAACAACAAGTCGTAATAGGGCCTCGTCACAGCTGTGGAGGAAAACAGAGGATTTCAGGAGGTCAAAGAAACAGTGTGAAAAACCAGCTCTACCCAGTTTCCCCTCCTCTTAGCCCAAACACAGCCGACCAGCCAAGACTGAAGTTCGCTTCTTTAGTTTAAAAAACCTACGGAGCCCTGATGGTGACACCCCATAAGGCATGGGCACAAGATAATTAAATGGTGGCCACAACTTAGTAAGGTGTGGGAATGAGATCCTTATGCGTGGCCATGACTTAGTAAGGCGTGTGAATGAGATAATTAAGCCTTGAACACAGTTTATTAAGCATGATCTCTTTCCCACACTTTACTAAGTTGTGGCCACGACTTAGTAAGGCATGGCAACAAGATAATTAAGTCGTGTCCACAACTTAGTAAGGCGTGGGAACGAGATCCTAATGCATGGCCATGACTTAATAAGGTGTGTGAATGAGATAATTAAGCCTTGAAGGCAGCTTTATAAGGCATGATCTCGTTCCCACGCTTTACTAAGTTGTGACCACTACTTAGTAAGGCATGGGAACGAGATAATTAAGTCATGGCCATGACTTAGTAAGGCATGGGAATAAGATCCTTATGTGTGGCCATGAATTAGTAAGGTGTGTGAATGAGATAATTAAGCCTTGAACACAGCTTAATTAGCATGATCTTGTATGACATGGGAACAAGATAATGAAGTCGTGGCCACAACTTCGTAAGGCGTGAGAATGAGAGCCTAATGCGTGGCCATGACTTAATAAGGCATGTGACTGAGATAATTAAGCTTTGAACACAGCTTAGTAAGGCATGAGCTCGTTCCCACGCTTTACTAAGTTGTGGCCATGACTTAATTATCTTGCTCCCACACCTTACTAAGTCACACATTATTTTTATTTATATATATTTAGGATGTCACTAGCAGGGCTCCGTAAACACCCCTTGTATTTTATTTCGATTCTGGTCCACTTATAACATTTGTGCAGTTTTATGTACCAAAAAAAGTCATAATTCATTTTTATATGACCGTCTTATACACTGTCGTTATGCCCTGTATTGAGCCTCATTTAAACACCAGTCCAGGCTGAAACACTCCTTATAACTTCAGCATGAGTGGGCGGGGCTACATTATATATAATCCTATCCCACTTTCTGAGTGTGATATTCCTGAAATAGTGTAATTTTGGACAGTATCTTTCTTAAACTGCTGCTCTGTAATGGTACTGAATGCAGTCCAGCAGCGATGCTGACCTCCCTAAAATGGCGGCGCCGTTGACGTGCCTGGCTGGACCCAACGTGGCATCTCGGTATGTATATCTATGTTTTTAGCTCTGTGATGCACTTGTGTCCATCTTTATACAGAACAGTATGACATTCAGTATCAGAAAACATAGGACACAATGTTAGCTTCATGCTAATTGGTGTACATAAGCTTCCTTTACTTCTTAGCTACATTAGCAGTGCTAAAACTGAAGAAGGAAACTTTAGACACCAAACACATCTTGCCTGAGCGACTACATTTGGGGTAATAAGAGGGGGAAAGTGAGTAAATCAGATTTTTCACTGAAATCAGAACAGAAGGCACATTAGCGGTTTAGAGACACTGTAGAAGTCGTGATGTTTTAATGCTGTCAGTTGAAGTCAGAGTTCTTTTTCAGGGTTTTCCACAGAAAAACGTGACCTGGATTAGAAAAACACAGAAGCACCAACCACTTCTCTACAGACGCCCAGAGAGGCCATGAGGTGGATATAATTATCTGGATTGTTATCTTGAGATCATGACTTAACTATCTTGTGATCTCAAGATGACAAAGTTGTTGAGATCGTGACTTAATTATCTTGTGATCTCAAGATAACAAGTTAACTGTCTTGTAATCTCAAGATAACAGAAGTTATCTTGAGATCATGACTTGTGATCTCAGGACAACAAAGTTTTTGAGATCATGACAATTATCTTGTGATTTCAAGATAACGTGTTATCTTCAGATCACAAGATAGTAAGTCACGATCTCAAGATAACTGTTTTGGGATCTTAAGATAAAGTTGTTATTTTGAGATCACAACTTATGATAATAAAAGTTGTTATCTCAAGATCACAAGATAAGTCGTAATCTCAAGATAACAATAATGGCTCATGGCCTCTCCAGACTTCCGTACTTCTCGGCTGAAGTACAGCAGAAGTGTTATTTATTCCAGGAGCGACTGATGGACTGTAGATGTATCTTGAGTAGTTGTGATGGACGTACAGAAGGTCAGTGAATGAATTCAAATGGAAGGTATGAGTAATTGTTAAGTAAAACCCAGTGCAGACACTGCCTTTCAAACGTCTGGGGACTTCTAGTGTGTGAAAGACCCCCCGGTATTCGGGGGTCCCGTGTTGTCTGTCTGCTAACTCTCTCTCCATAGCGGCGCTGAAGCTTCAATGTCAGTAAATGTTCGTTTTATCAGCTGTTCTTCTGTAGAGTCTCTGTTCTAGTGCGGTTCTGCGCTCTTCCTCACAGTAACTGAGATCTTCCTCGTCTCCTCTTCTGTAAAGTCTCTGTTCTAGTGCGGTTCTGCGCTCTTCCTCACATTAACTGAGATCTTCCTCGTCTCCTCTTCTGTAGAGTCTCTGTTCTAGTGCGGTTCTGCGCTCTTCCTCACAGTAACTGAGATCTTCCTCGTCTCCTCTTCTGTAGAGTCTCTGTTCTAGTGCGGTTCTGCGCTCTTCCTCACAGTAACTGAGATCTTCCTCGTCTCCTCTTCTGTAGAGTCTCTGTTCTAGTGCGGTTCTGCGCTCTTCCTCACAGTAACTGAGATCTTCCTCGTCTCCTCTTCTGTCTTCAGTGTGAGAAATGAGGAACAGTCACTCTTCACTCCAAACTCTTGGGAAACTGGGCGAGTTTTCAGATTTACAGATCTGCTGCAGCTCATTGTAAAGTTTTTCAGAGGAATCCGGGCAGAGTTACAGTTTCTAGGCTATGAAGGACCAACTGGGTGAACCAGTCTGCTACAGCGCCACCCTGAGGCAGAGCAGAGCTGCAGCTCTAGTTAGTTAAGATCACCAAAGACAGAAGCTGATTGTGGGGGAAGCAGATAAACAATCAGCTCCACTGAATCTGGATTTGACTGACAAACAGCGTAACGTCATAAAGTTTATTTTCAGAGGCCCTCTAGAATTTTGATTGAATTTTGAGACTTTCAGGGGGTCCAACAGGTAAATTAGAGGGTCACAGACCCTCAGGACCCCTGTATTCTCTCTCCATCTGGGGTTGAGCAGAGGAGGATGGGTTCCTCCCTTGAGCCTGGGTTCCTCTCGAGGGTTCTTCCTCTTACTCCAAGGAAGTTTTTCCTTGCCACGGTCGCCTCTGACTCGCTCATGGGGGGCTTGGACACGGATTCAGTTCCTTATGTCTATACATGGACTCCTCTTTATTTTTCCTTATTTTCTTTTTTATTCTTTTGATCCTTCCTAATCTGCTTTTCTGTAAAGCTGTTTTGTGACAACTCTAGTTGTAATAAGTGCTGTACAAAGAAATGTTGTTGTTGTTGTTGTCGTTGTTGTGATGTCACTGATCAGCACTCAAACCTTTCAGGCTGTGTAAATAAGCTTTGGACCAAAAGAGCTTCAATATGAGCTTTTAGCAACAGTTAAATCAGTATTTAGACAGAAGCTGCTCTTCATATCAAGGAGATGAGAAGATAAACATACAGAAAAAACATCAGCACAGAGCTGATTCATGATAAACTAAACCTTTAGATCAAACATTTCAAAAGAAGGCAAGATGTCCCCAAACGTTTGAAAGGCAGTCTATGTTAAGGCTGTTGCACTTGGTGGAGTTACCCCTGTCTACTGGAGCTCTCTACTCTGAGAGGACACCCAGGAAAAAGCCCTACGCAGGACTCCAGGGGGCGCTCTAATGCCCCAGCCCAGCCTGAACCGGGGAGCATCAGGCAGCAGAGGAGAAACTAGGGGCGCCCTGGCTGGGGATTCTGGGAAATGGAGGCACTTGGAGCTTTTTGAGCGGAGAAGTGGAGGAGCTTTGAGTGCCAGCAGGTGCTGCAGGGCTGAGGCAGGTGAAGGAAAGAGGTGTGATGGTGACAGAGACAGAAATAATTCAGTATGAGGTTCGGGGAGAAGGTGCATGGTGGTCTAAATATTACGGTACAACACAACTTGTTCTGCAGTCTTTACAAAAAAATCGGTCTTCTGTTCAGAAAATAAAGCTGCTGAGTGAGAAACTCTTCTTCTAATAATTACCTTTGGGTTTCCCAGCAGGATGGCTTTTGGATGCGTTCTGCATGGCCTGCTTCTTCTGCACTTCTGTGATGGAAAACCCTGTAAAAATAAATTGACTTAACTTAAAGAGGTGCAAATGAAAAGAAGACTAAGCAGGACAAATAATCCTGCTAGGGCTTCTATTGTTTCATTTAAAAAGCCTCTATAATAGTTCATATGATCCACACAGTCACTCTGACAGACTGTAGTACACTACAGGAAGTGTAGGGGGCGATATGGCTTCTACTGTTTCATTTGAAAAGCCTCTATAATGTTCATATGATCCACACAGTCACTCTGACAGACTGTAGTACACTACAGGAAGTGTAGGGGGCGATATGGCTTCTACTGTTTCATTTGAAAAGCCTCTATAATGTTCCTATGATCCACACAGTCACTCTGACAGACTGTAATACACTACAGGAAGTGTAGGGGGCGATATGGCTTCTACTGTTTCATTTAAAAGCTCTATAATGTTCATATGATCCACACAGTCACTGTGACAGACTGTAATACACTAGAGGCAGTGTAGGGGGCGATATACTACACCGTAAAAAGAAATCACTTGTTGCACAGGTGGAATTTTGAATTATAGTGGCAGCAAAGAAAAAGGAACCAAAGAGGACAGAACAGCAGGACTAAATGAATAATCAATTAAGTAAGACTGAATGAATAAATCAATTATTTGTTGCCACAAACTGACCTGTGTCCAGGTCATGCTGGACCTGCTCCCTCTCGTCCCTGAAGGCTCGCAGCCACCGCTGTTTCAGCTCAGGTTTTTTGGCACACAGCAGGTGGATCTCCTCTCTGCCTGGAGTGACGAGCTTCACCGCGTTCTTCACACTCACGTTCAGGTCTTTATCTTTACCGTCCTCCACGTCCAGCACCTCCATCTCATCCATGTCCAGACGACCCTTGTAGTACAAAATGTCCCGCCGCAGCAGATCCTGGGTAAAAACATCAAACATCAGTTTAAAATATGGGTCAAATCTAAACACCTGATGTCTGATCATTCAACAAGTTACATAAGCACAGTGGTTAGCTACACTCTTAAAAATGATGGTTCTTCAGGGGTTCTTTGGTAAAAAAAAATGGTTCTATATAGAACCAGGAACACTCAAAGAAACCTTTGCATGATTAAAGTTTTCTTTGCATCATTAAATGGTTCTTCTTTAAATTGAGGGATAATGTGCTGTAGATGGTTCTATAGAGAAGGTTTTTGAAAAGGGTTCTATATAGTACCAAAAAGTGTTCTTCTATTGTTACAATGTTAAGCTTGTAACAACAGAAGAACCCTTTTTGGTGCTATATAGAACCATATACAATGCATTCTCTGTCAATCTGCAGAACCATTTCACCATGCAAAGACCCCTTTAATCATCCAAAGGGTTCTTCGAGTGTTCATGGTTCTATATAGAACCATTTTCTTTATCATAGAACCATCGTTTTTAAGTGTGTACATTAGCCTTGTAGCTCCAGTGTAAAATTAAAGAAGTAAACAAAGACACCACACATGGCTTGGCTGACTGACTCCACTGGGGGTGAGAGGGGAAACTGAGTAAATCAGATTTTTACTGAACTCTCACTATCGACTATATTAGTGATCTGATAATCTAGTGATTATTTTGCTAAGATGTCATATTTTACTGCATGTACATGAACTTTGTTACTACAAACATAGGTGCATTAGTGAGATCCTGCTGGTGTGGGTTTCCTCTATACCAGGGGTCTTTAATTAAAGTTCAATAAGGTCCAGTTAGAGAAAAATTCCTCAAGCAAAGGTCCAGAACATCATAATGTCTGACACACATCATGATTCAGTGCCAAATACTGTTTACTGAAGTAGCCTAGTAGGTATATCAACATCTTATACAGTCAACAACTGAATATCAAATCAAATAAAGTACAGTTCAGTCATATTTCAACAACATTTATTGTCAGTTTTCCCTTTTTTAGAGCACAACATGTGGAATAACTTCCCTCTGACTCACTTTCTTCTCTGACTGCTGTGTCTCGCCTCGTCCCTCCCCTGTGTGTGCGTCACTCACTCAAGTCTCAGTGCTCATCGTAATGCACAGATCTAAGTAGCGTCACGTGATATTTACAACGCATGTGATTGGTCTGTGAGTCTCCCGGGCTGCTAAACCGGTACCATAATGACTAGAAATGTCACGCCGATTAAAATTGGACCACCCCGTCGAAATTCAATAATTCTCCATAGTTTATCGGATATAGGTCCAGGTCCGCACAGGACAGCGTCTGGGTCTGGACTCGGACCGCGGTCCGCCTATTAGTAACCTCTGCTCTATACTATATACTATATATCTCATATTAATGTTAGCGTCAATAGTGCCCCCCTGTGGAGAGTGTTGAGACTGCTGAACGTGGTTTTATAACAACCTGCAGATTTACTGTTTATCATTCAAACTGCAAAGTAATAACTAAACCATTTCATAGAGAATGTAGCTTACATTTTTTATCTATTGTTTTTTAGTCAAGTAATTGATTAACTGAGTAATTAAAGCAGCCTAACTTATTTTAACATGGAAAATACGCTGTTGTGGAACCAGCCAGGCTAAGTATGAGATCTGCTGATGTCACTCAAATTCATTAGACCTAACAAAATATGCCTGCAATTTTCACATTTTTGAGATATTCCAATTAGCTGTAATGTAAACAGAGTGAAAAGATGGTAGGCCTGAAAATCTGCATCTCGACAGTTAGAGGCTGAGCTCTGCTTGTTCCTTTATAAAGCCACACTTGAGCTGGTACTGACTTTCTTGCAGAAGACCAGCTGATGATCGAAGAGGAAGAACATGCGCTGCTGGCCCTTCGCCTGAGGCTGAGAGATCTTAGTGAGATCTCCTGAGAAGATCAGGTCAGAACTCCTGCTGAGGACATCTTCACCCTGCAGAGGAACAAAACAGCACAAAGAGTTTGAAGCCCATGAAACCTGAAGCTGCTGTAACTGCGATGAACCGATTCCTAACGTCTGAGCGACTCTACCTCCCAGTCCTCTATGGAGCTCTGCCACTGGGCGATCTTATCGATGTTCTCCAGACGGCGCTTCCTCTCGTTGATCAGCCTGGCCACGTTCTTCATGGCGTTTAAAGCAGCCTCCACGTCCTTATAATCTCTGCATTAATGGGGAAAAATAAACAGGTCATATTCCTCTCACGGTTACATATCCAGCCAAGACAGTATTTGTCTGTCTACATAGGAGCTTCATAACACATTCATACACCCTGAATAACATACTTAAAAAGCAATTCTCAAGTTACTGCTTAGTAATAATAATAATAATGTCTTTATTTATACAGTATCCATAAAACTTTCCATAAATATTCAAGCACTGTTTTTAATCTGTTAACTGTTGCCATGATTTTGCCTTAAACCCAATACTTAAAGTACAAACAGCGCTGTTCGATCATACTCTGGGCTACAGTCATGATCTCAGTCTCATTTGAAAGGAAACACTCAGTTTTTTAGAATAACTGTATGAACTACTGACTTCCTCCTGACTCACAGATCTCTAGACTGATCTCTGACTCTTGCCGTGTTATCAGACCACATGTTTTGGATGATGGTGTCTCTGAGGAGGCGATGAGGCTCTGAAGGTGGGGACACAGATTTGCTGGCATTTGATCATTCGGTGCTTCTGTTGCAAATGAGACGATCGTAACTGCTGTGAATAACGGATCATAAAATGGTTTGTGGGAGTCGAATCCCGAGATGTTAAGCTTTCTGACAGTGTATTGCCTCAACGCACTGCTGGACGATTTGATGAATAAAATGTAGTATTAAAAAGCAGAAGTGTGCTGGTCCCAGTACAGTGGTCTAGGAAAGGTTAATGTGCTATTCAATGCTTATGCATGTGTGATGAAGTCCATAAATAGGTATCATTCAGGTGACGTGCTAGTGAGCGTTTGCTGTACCTGTGCTGAGGGTTGGTGTATTTGAGCAGCTCCGCCAGCTGCAGAGGGTATTTACAGATCTTCTGAACGGGCGTGAGGAGGAAGCCGTCCAGAGAGATGTCGATCATCTTCTGGAGCAGACGACAGGCCTCGAAGAAGAACACGTATTTCTTTATCTTCATCAGTTTGGAGAGCTGCACGCAGGCGTTGGGGTGGTTGTTGCAATATTCCGAGTAGATCTGGAACTCTGTTTGCTGGAGAAGGAGACGACGAGATACAACCAAGTTCAGAGAAAAGTTTCTTAAAAGTTAATAAGCTTACTTTTTTAATTTTGTAATATCTGAACATCAAGAGAAATGGATAACAGATCATATTCCTGTCAATAATACTTTCAATAATACTTCACTATATCTAGCGTGCACTATAAATTCAAGAAATGTTTGATGTAAATCAAAGGAAATCGAAGGTTTTTGAAACAAATATGTCGCTGTTGTCGGAAGAAAACCTCCTATTTCCATCTTTGACGTTTTCAGTTTTTGACATAATTTGAAAAAGCCTGTTGCCCTTTACACTGTGTGTAAATTTCATGATGAATGGACCAAAAGAAACGGCCCAAAATTACTTGGTTCAATAGACTTACATTAAAAGTAAAGTAGGTTTTTTCCTTCTCCTGTAAAGTTACTATTTTGGAGATATGAGGTTCTGTTCAGACAACAGCGATATATATATATATTGTATTTTAAACATTGCAGTTCTTTTTGTCTTTGGTTTGCTCTGTTTGTTATAATTTTAATTTATCTGTGTGAAATATTTATTTTATTTGAAATTTCATGGTATTTTAATGTCAGGTCTCAGGAACTACAGCTGAACTTAGCCTGGCTAACACTGGCACATTTACCTTTGGGGTTATTAATGTGATTTGTACACTCTTACAAAGCTGGTTCTTTAGTGAAGACATTGACTACATAGAACCATAAACATTCAAAGAACCATTTGCATGTTTAAATGGTTCTCTGTATGGCGAAATGGTTCCACAGATTGATGGAGATGTGTTGTATGTAGTTCTATAAGCACTAAAACAGGTTCTGCTATTGCTACAAGCTTGACATTGTAACAGTAGAACTCTTTTGGTGCAATACAGAACCATTTTCGAAAAGGCTCTGTACGGAACCATCTACAGCTCATTCTCCATCAATCTGAAGAAACATTTCACCACGCAGAGAACCACTTAAGCATTCAAATGTTTTTTGAGTGTTCGTGGCTCTATACAGACACATGGTCTTTACTAAAGAACTCTTAAGGAACCATCTTTTTTACTAAAGTATTGGATTTGTGTGCTTCGAACACCAATTATACAACAATAACTTACAGAGTTACCTTGAACCTCATAGATGGATACACACATATATATGCAGATAGGCAGCCAAACAGATATACAGACAGACAGACAGATAAACAGACAGATAAACAGAGAGATGGACAGTTAGATAGATAGATAGATAGACAGACAGACAGGTAGATATATAAAAAGACAGACAGACAGAGAGATAGGTAGATAGATAGATAGATAGATAGATAGATAGATAAACGACAGATAGACAGACTCACAGATAGACAGACTCACAGATAGACTCATAGATAGAGAGATAGACAGACAGACAGACAGGTAGATAGACAGACAGAACATACAGAAACGTCCTTTTCTTTCTTACGTTCTCTAGGAAGCAGGAGCCGATCTCGCTGAGATGAGGTTGTTCTTTGTTGAATTTTTTCTCCAGGCCTTTCAGAAACTTCTTCTGGAAGCGGTAGAGCTCGTCGATGTTCCCGAAGATCGTCCGCAGCTGCTCCTCCGTGAACATGTCGGTTCGTTTGCGGCACTGTTTGATATAGCCCTGAAGTTCACGGACAGAATAAATGAACTTAAATCACTGGTAAAGAAAATATTTACACATTTTTATTGGTTTCCTTTTTTCTGTGTTGTTTTTGTCCAAACCGGCCATCCCAATCAGCCGGACACCATGTTAGTGTCTCCCTTCAGCGCACTCACTACTCACGTTCTTAATACTGGAATAAAGTGTTAGCGAGCTCCGGCGGTTCAGCTCTGCAGCGAGTATTTACTTTAAAGACTCAGGGAACCTGAATCTGTGATTCCTCTCTAATCAGGTTAATCTTGGTCCTGCAGGTAAACAGTAAACATGTACCAAGTTCACCCTCTGAATAATGTTCCACTGACCAATAAATGACTGATATATTTCACCATATTTCTCTCCTCTCGATGTAAACTGGCAACTAAACTTGGGTGACGTTTCCATAATCATTCCCCTGACCGCGTCTCTGGCCCCGCCCACACAGAACAGTTTCAGAGTCAGAGAAACTTAGCGAGCGAAAACTAACCCAGCATAACCAAAAGCCAGCAAGACCACCTGTCTGTAGCAGCCGTCGCTCGTTCACTCGTTTATCCAACATTGTTCACTCATCTGTTCTTTCATTCATGCACTGCTTCATCCGTCTATCTACACGTCCATTCACGACTTTTTTCATCCAGTTAGCGTCACATAAAGCTGGAGTATGATTTTATTTCCGTATGAGGGGCGGAGCAGGCTAGGAGTGTTGGACAGGTAGCTGTCAATCAAGCTGCTCTATAGACACGCCCACACAGTTCTCAGATCGGTATGATCAGCAGATTTTAAATGTTTTATCCTACGTATATCATATTTTTCATTCAAGCTTTGCTGGATGTTTAATAGAACACATGTTTAGTATACAAGCATTTATAATATTTTACTCTGTGTTTCCTGAGATTTAGAGTAAGGTAGCTGTTTCTTCCTAGGTAGGTATCCAGCTAAGCTAAGTCCTAAACTTTAAACTCAGCCTTTAACGTTACTGATGTGGCTGCTAGCTAGTGAGCTTTGGTTACAAGCCAATCTTACATTCCAGTATTCATGTCCTGAATTTTCGAGCTTTAACACACTGTAAAAATGTCTCGTCATCAATTCAAGAGTAACAAGCAGATTAACTAGTTTTATGCAACCTAAATAAATACTGTCAATGAATGATTCTTTCAAAGTCATTTTTGAGCTGAATAAAACCAGTTCAATTGCTTGTAACTACATAAAGTAATTTTTTTAGGTTGACCGTTTTTTTACATTGTACTTGATCCACCTAATCAGCCCATTAAAGAACACTGTGGGTGTGTTGGAACACTTTAACCCTAAAACATGCAGGTGTGCTCCAGGACCAGGACAGGTGCTGAGGAAGGATTTGGACTGACCTCACAGATGTCCTTCAGGTGTTTGATGTAGTCCCTCTCTGTGCTCATGATCTCGTTGATGACGTTGGCCCTCATCTGCTCTTTGCAGGGTAGGCCGGGTCCCAGCGAGCGGCACACGCCGGCGCCCCCTTCTGGAGCTCCCTCCAGCTGCGCCAGATAATCGTCCATCGGCTCATCCTGGTTCACACGTAACTGCCAACAACAGAGACATCGCAATGCACCACACGTCAAATCCACACAAACGCTCAAACGTTTGGGCTCATATAAAACCAATTTTTGAAGATGAGTTTATAAAATGTATATATATATATATACATATGTGTGTATATGTGCATATATACACAGATCAGGCATAACATTATGACCACCTCCTTGTTTCTACGCTCATTGTCCATTTTATCAGCTCCACTTACTATATAGGTGCACTTTGTAGTTCTACAGTTACAGACTGTAGTCCATCTGTTTCTCTGATACTTTGTTAGCCCCCTTTTACCCTGTTCTTCAGTGGTCAGGACCCCCATGGACCCTCACAGAGCAGGTACTATTTGGGTGGTGGATCCACCAACCAAAAATATCCAACCAACAGCGTCCTGTGACCACTGATGAAGGACTAGAGGATGACCAACACAAACTGTGCAGCAGCAGATGAGCTATCGTCTCTGACTTTACATCTACAAGGTGGACGGATAAGGTAGGAGTGTCTAATAGAGTGGACAGTGAGTGGACACAGGGTTTAAAAACTCCAGCAGCACTGCTGTGTCTGATCCACTCGCACCAGCACAACACACACTAATACACCACCACCACGTCAGTGTTACTGCAGTGCTGAGAATGATCCACCACCCAAATAGTACCTGCTCTGTGAGGGTCCATGGGGGTCCTGACCACTGAAGAACAGGGTAAAAGGGGGCTAACAAAGTATCAGAGAAACAGATGGACTACAGTCTGTAACTGTAGAACTACAAAGTGCACCTATATAGTAAGTGGTTCTATATAGCACTAAAAAGGGTTCTTCTATTGTTATAATATCAAGCTTGCAACAATAAAAGAACCCCTTTTAGTGCTATATAGAACCATACGGAACGCATTCTCCATCAATCTGAGGAACCATTTCACCATGCAGACAACCTCTAAGCAAATGATTCTACATAGAACTCATGGTTCTAAATAGAACCACTCCATTTACTAAAGAACCCTTTAAGAACCCTCTTTGTTAAGAGTGTAGTTTAGTGTAATCAGTTAATTTACTCTTAATTTACAGATATACAGTGGTCTTATGTCGTCTCTCACCCGGACGAAGCTGGCGGGGAACCAGCCCTCGCTGTCCAGCACTCGGCCCCACCACCACTCCTTATTGGTGGCGTCCACTACTTCGATGACATCACCGGCCTTGAAGCCCAGCTCCTGGTCGTCCATGGTGACGTGGTCCCACAGAGCCTCGGCACAAACACTGCCATCACTGATCAG